TCTGCCCTGCATTTGGGAACTTGAAAGGGTAGGCAGGGTTAAAAAATATGTAGTTTTTTTGGCAGTTGACACAGGTTTTTTTAGCATAGTCTTCTGACTTTCAGTTGGGTTAAGTCAGAACTACACTAGAAGCTGTAAAATTAGCTTAAATAATCTAATCTGAAACCGGTTTGATTTGACCTTCAGATCGCTGTCCCGCTGTAGCAACCAACCAACCTTTTAACAGATTTTATCCATGTGTTAAAATATTGGGTTTAAAATAACAAAGACACAACATAACAAAGCAAGGCATAAACATATCATTATAAACTGGCATTTTGAATACAACTATCACCTTCCACACATATAAAGATGTGCTAAAAAAAAAGGCACAAGAAGCGCCTGATGCAAAGGCAAGTGTGAAATTTCAACTTTTTCTGGAAAAAAAGTTTTATGGCTTGATATGAATGAAAATAAATAAATACACAATGAGCCATTTCTTTAGAATGACAAGAAGGACAGCTAGAGAGGTGAAGTTTTAAACCTCAGTATGCCATAACAATGGTCAAGCACGGTAGAACCATTCTGATGATCATTTTCCTAGGCAGGGGTACTGGTCCAGGTGGTACTGGTCGCAGCTAAACTGGTCCATGGGGACAAAATAATGTTGAATGAAGACCACAAATAAATTCTTAAAATTCTCTACAAATTAACCGGCATAGCAACATACCGGTAGATTGGAGCAGCTCCTTTACAGAAATAATTTTACACGCAGTTTGTGAAAAGCAGAGCTACTGATGATCATTCATTCCTGCTGCAACCAGACTGTACAATGCAACACTACAACGGCTATAACTTGTGCAATGTATAATGTGCAATTACTATTTGACACCCAGTGCAATAACTATTTATATATAAATACCCATGTAAAAACCCTGTGCAATAACCCTGTATAATGATCCTTCTATAAAAGAATACAAAAAAAGCTGTCATATGTGGGCACATTGTATATACTGTATATATCCCATGCACCTTTTTCTATATTTGGCATATTCTTCTTTTTGACTATTTGAGCTGATGTAAGGAGCTAATTTCTCCACTGTGAGATCAATAAAGTCAGTCAATCAATCAACATGACAATCAAGTATCCAAACTGATTTACTGTGGATGATATTTTAAGATATTTATAGAAAACCCTCTGGTAATTTCAAAGTGTTGCATTCAAGAAGATAATCAATACAGGAAAAAAAAATCACCTCTAAATACATTTAAAATCCAAAGAAAATTTGTATTTTAACAAATTTTTCAAACTGGTTTTACATTAAAAGGTACCGGAATTTTATTCAGTTTTTTTTTTTTAATATTTTATCCCAGAATTGTTTTCTTTCTTTTTCCCCCTCAAGCTGATCGATTTGTTCTAGATTACAAATTCATTACCTTGTGAATCACTACAGGGTTGACTTTTTAATTTACCTGCCAACTCATATGTGCCAATGGGGACTAGTTGTTAGCAAACATTAATGCATTCTACAGTGAGATGGCATTTTGCTCTGAGGATCTGTCTACGTGTTGCCATGGATATGATTTAGATTCATGAACACCTCTGCTCCAAATCACTGCAGGCTTCTGCACTTCGGGACAAGCGGCAACAGGAAACGCCTGAACAGAAACCCAAAGATGTATAGCGTGCCCAGGAAAATGTGATGGAAGCAATCCTAAATAGATACAAGCACAAGTACACACTGGAACAGAAAGGCACCCATGCAACTTGGTGCTTCACCCTGTTTCTCTTTCTTCCCCTCTAGCTAAACTCACAGAGCTCCAACACAAACAGAGAAGAAGAAAAAAGAAAAAACAGCCCAGCCTCCACCTTGCTGTCCTCAAAGGTGATTGTGGTGCAACACAAAAGAGGCAAAGCTCACAACAAGAGGCAAAAAGATGCAAGAGGGAAAAAAGGGAGTTGGCTGTGGGATTAGCTGTGTGTTTGTGCTTGGAGCAGAGTTTGGGCAAACAAGTCAGGGAGAATGTTTTCATTCATATTTTCCTAAAGTTAGTTGGGAGGCAGAGGCACAATGAGCAGAAGGAGGCCAAAGTCCCGAGAGAAAGGAAAAAGGAAGAGAAAGTGCAGATAGGAGAAACCAGAGAGAAAAACTTAGAATTAGTTTCAATCTTTGACTCCTCCATTCCCTTTGCACCTGTATGACATGTGGTTTTCCAAATCAGGCAAACGTTGAATAAGAAAACAAATTTTAAAGTTTGGTAGCATTTATTTTCATTACTTAGATTAGAGAAGGAGAGGCACTATGGTATGATAGGTGGCTCCAAAGACTAATTAGACTGCTGGCGTTATTAATTTGTGCAGCTGGAAAGATGACAACAGCAAGAAGGAGTTAATATTAGATCGTAGCTAGATTCATTAAAGTAAGTGCACTTGACTCAAAAGATAATAACTCCTACGTAAAAAAAAAGAAGCTGATTAATAAAAAAAAATGCTTTGCACATTTCATTTTGTTGAGTGATAATAGCTGCTGACTGGACTAACTTCAAGCTTCAATTATTGTTAAGTACTAAAAAAAAGAAGTTTTTGTTTTTGGGTTAAACAGAGAACTGATACGACATGATCTCATAAGAAGAAGAAGACGAGGGAGACTCTGATAGATGACAGATTAGACCACAGAGCCTGAGACGTCAAACATTCCAACAGTAGGAAGGGATGCGTTATTGGCTATATCGTAGAATTAGAAATGCAATATCAATTAGTGCCTTTCCATTCCCCTTTATTTTTTTGTACATAATATTAATCTCTCTAAGACCTCTCTAAGGTCTTTAAGACCTAGCTGTACAGGACAGATGGATACTGGTTTAACAAATTAGGCCATGAAGAATTTTACTTAAAAATAATAGCTATAGTTTTATAAAAGGTGATCGGTTCCACAAGGGATGGGTTGAATTTCTTTGATTAAAACAAACTAAGGCAAAAAGGAAATTCCTCCTATGTCTAAACTACTACATAGCAATAGAGCTTTTCCTTATTCTGATTTTAATGATGATTATTATTAATATGATCATTATAGGCAGACTGTCTTGAGGTTGGTTTGTGCTCGCTTCCATATGTTTTATAATCAAATGAACAAATAGGGGGGAAAAATGAGGACCATAAGGTCTTAATCAGAGACTCACAACTCTGCTTTTCTCCAAAACATTCGCTCACAGCTGCATATCTCGACATCTTAAACTTGGAAATTATGAATTTTTGCAATTTCCTCATGTTCAATCTAACCCTTCATTCCAGATTCACAAGAGTAAAATACTTAATTGTGAAGTGTGCGACCCAGAAGGCTACTTATCTGCAAAATACAACATGAAGATGATATTTAGGCTTGTACCTCAAACCTGAAAGACTTCAATATTGCAGGTGCAAACTGTATCATCTAATAAAATACCACAGCTTTAATAAAACCTGTGCTGTGCCACAGTTGTTAGCTCTAAACCTAAACCTCTGACCAAAAGAACAGCCTTTAACCTTCAGCAGGTCAGTGCTTCACCTCAGCTTTTTATGATGTGAGCATCCAGCTACAAACAGATATGAGCGAAATAGCAAACTCTTCTCAGACATGCCATTAGGTATAGCTGATCAGATACTACACTTTAAATACTACAGCTAGCAGGAGGCTTAGTTATATCAAACATCCAATTTTCATTTAATTGGAACTTTGAACTTGAAAATAAAACTAACTATTCAACAGTGGTACTATTTTCAGCCAGGAGCTTTGCACAAGCTGCTAAAGCAATATCTTTTTTTGCTTCCAAGAAAAAAAGCAAACACAGGATCATTTACACAGTGGAATGTTTCATTTTTGTCACACTCGGGCAGAACGTTACTTTAAAAGGTTTGCGTAAGACATTTAACTACCTTCACTGCTGCATTCATTTTTAAAATTAGTCAAAGAGTTGACCCTCTACTGTTACCTTCACCACACATGGCAAAAACAATAATCCCTGTGGGAAAAATACCAAACAAATTCCAAATTGTTGTGTAAAGAGTAATCTGGACATCTTTGAGGTGAGCGTATTTTGGGAACTAAACACTTAACAAGACTCCTGCAGTCATCTTGTCCTCCAGGCATGGAAAAAGAATGCCACCCAAGTGCACCGCAGTGTTGCCCATGTTCTGTTTAGGAGGAAACACTAATACCTCTTTATATAAATGGTTACAAAACACTCAGAATCCACAAGACGTTCTGGCTGTGTGTGATTGTGTGTGCTGGGAACAGTTTGCTGATATACGCACACACACTGACAGATGAACATGCACACACAAACAAACTCGCACAGAAAAAATACAGACAAGTAAACACATGCTGACAGCAATAGTCTGCAGGCACAGAGATATAATGAATGGAACAGATATACTTATGGGAAAAGTACTCATTGTCACAGCCTTATTTATTTAGAGATCTAGTTTAAAACACAAACCTAAATACAGTTCTGTTCCAGATCAATATGCAATAAAGTTTTTTTTTATACACTACAAAAAAAATGTTTTAGTCTTTCTTATTGAATAAAAAATGGCAGACTTTATGTTAATTCCTGCTTTAAGATAGTAACATCCTTTATAAGATTTAATATAACTTTAAGCTGGTCTACTCTTCATATTATTAAGAATAAAGATGACTGGATCCAGTACAGACCCTAATTAGAGACAAATCTTATTTTTTAAGTTTGCAATTATAAGATTTTTTAGCTAATAAACGTTTTGAAAAGGAAGGGGAAAATACACTCTTTCAATGTAAAAAGTAATGTAGGTTAAAATAAGCTATTTTAAAAGTATTTCACTTGTAAAGCTGTTATTCCTTCTGGTTTACTGAACCTAGATGATCATGGACTTAAACTAGAGAAGCTTAGAGGTGGATGAAGAGGGAGATAGTGAGCAGTTTACTCTATGGTAAGCTGTGATTTTCTTGTTTTGAAATTTTTAATATTTTCCTTGTGAGAACATTACAATACAAAGGTAGTGTCATGCCTTTTGTTAAAAAGAGTTTGAGTTTATAATTAATCAGAGTGAGACATCCCGTTTTTGTTAGAGCTTTAAGGTAAATACGTTAGGTAGTGAGTGCTCTCACGTCGAACATATCTTTGACGTATTTTTTTATTTTTTTCTCTGGAAAATCCCGTTTCAGCAAGTTAGCTTCAGAAACGGTTCATGTTGAAGTGAAATGTTCTACACGCTTCTGCCTCGGCAAATATTCGTCTTTGTGAGTATTGTTTTGCTCAGAAAACACTTGAATATGTGTTGAAATAATTTTTTTTGTAAAGTTTGAGAAATGTCTCAGATAAATTTGTGTTTAATTTAAGCTAAGTGTAGAATGTGCTGAGGATGTTCAGATCTAAATATTAGTCAGTGATTAGTTTTTTCTTCTGTGTATTTCAGTTACAACAATAAAAAAGGATATCAAAACCAGATTATTGAATAAAGATTCTTCCAGAATGCAAGAAAAGCAAGCCTTGTGAGGAGAACTTTTTTTCATGTTGTTCGCTGGCTGTCTAACTTCATATGGTCACGTGTTGTGAGGACAGCACAGTAAAAAGACGACATACACTGCGGGCTTAAGCATACAGAGCAACATTTAACAACATGAGTCTTCGCTCAGGAAAAAATTATTTGAAAGACTACGCTGCTGATCAGCTACTTGACGCAGCTGGTGATGATCGACAAACGGAAGATGCCACTCAACAAGCTACAACGCAGCAGCCGTCTCAACCATTGGACGCCATGTCGCAGGTCTCCAGAGCACCCACAAGAAGGTCTCAACGGACATCCTCATCGTCAACAGGTTCCTCAGCCGCACGGGCCTACGCCAAAGCTCAAGCAGCGCGAGCTCAACTAGCCTATGCCAAACAGGAAGCCAGCATGATGAAACAAAGAGCCGAATTGGACGCACATCTCCATATCCTTCAGTGCGAAAAAGCCATTGCAGCAGCTGAAGCAGAGGCCACAGCTTATGAAGAAACAGAGAATCAGAGCGGGGAGCTCCACAAAGGACTTTGTGTGGAAGCTGAGCCCTTTACCCCTGTGCAGCGTACCAGGGAGTATGTTAAACAACAATCTCAACTGTTATTTTCAGACAACCAGCAGTATCCAGTACCCCTTCCTGACAGAAATGTCACTGCAATAGATACACAAGACATTCCACAGGTAAACAATCCTATGAACACTCAAACAAATCCACCATCAGGAAACAGGATGATGAAGCAGGAGCCAGTACTTAATACATGTGGCACAAACGATGCAAAGGATTTTGCAAAGTACCTCATCCGTAAAGAGCTAGTAAGCACGAGCCTCATGCATTTTGACGATAAACCCGAAAACTATTGGGCATGGAAAACCTCGTTTATTGATGCCACCAGAGAATTAAATCTGTCTCCCAGAGAGGAATTAGATCTGTTAGCAAAGTATTTGGGACCAAAATCGTCTGAACAGGCAAAACGGATTCGTGCTGTACACATCCTTAATCCGGCTGCAGGTTCTGTGATGGTCTGGCAACGCCTTGAAGAGTGCTATGGTTCACCTGAGGTAATTGAGGATGCACTCTTAAAAAAGGTAGAGGTCTTCCCAAAGCTAACAAATAAAGACAGTGTTAGACTGCAAGAGCTTAGTGACGTCTTAATGGAACTTCAGTGTGCTAAGCAAGATGGTGCCCTGCCAGGGCTAGCATACCTAGACACAGCCCGAGGAGTCAAACAAATAGTTGAGAAACTACCCTTTAATTTGCAAGAAAGATGGACAACTGTAGGAACACAATACAAGGAGACCCATGGAGTGTCGTTTCCCCCTTTTTCAGTTTTTACACAGTTTGTTCAGCATCAGGCGAAAATGAAAAATGACCCCAGTTTCATGTTCAGTCCAAATAGCCAGGTTCCATCTCATGCAGAAAAACTGAGACCATATAGTCGCAAACCTACTGTGTCAGTTCATAAAACTGATATCACAGTTGAGCCTAATCAAAGTAGTCCAAAACAATTGGAGGAACCAGACCGACAGTGTCCGATCCACAAAAAACCACACCCACTCAAAAAGTGTAAACTTTTTAGATGCAAACCTATTGAGGAAAGACAGGCATACCTGAAAGAGCATCACATCTGTTACAGGTGCTGTGGGTCAGTGAGACACATGGCAAAAGACTGCAAAGCAACAGTTAGATGCACAGAGTGCGACAGCCCAAAACACTTATCTGCGATGCACCCTAGTTATCCCCCCGCACCAGAGAGCACTGCACGTGAACATAATGTACATGATGAGCAACATGAGAGTTTACCTTCAGGCTCTCTTTCAGTTGTTTCAAAGTGTACAGAAATATGTAGCCAAAGCGACTACCCACGTTCATGTTCTAAGATAAGCTTAATCAAAGTATACCCTGCCAGGCAGAGAGAGAAGGCCATTAAAATGTATGCAGTGATAGACGAACAGTCCAACAGGTCGTTGGCTAAGTCAGAGTTTTTTAACCTTTTCGATATCAGAACCACACCTGTGCCTTACACATTAAAGACATGTGCTGGAAATGTACAAGTATCAGGAAGGAGAGCTGTAAATTTCTTCATTGAGTCTGTAGATGGAAAAGTCAACATTCAGTTACCACCACTAATAGAATGTGACTCTGTTCCAGACGACAGAACAGAGATACCCTCCCCTGAGATCGCGCAGCATCACCCACATCTCTTCCCAGTTGCAGATAAAATTCCACCTGTTGATCACCAGGCTCCCATCCTTTTACTCCTGGGTAGGGACATTCTCAGGGTCCATAAGGTACGTGAGCAAATCAACGGGCCAAACAATGCTCCTTACGCCCAAAGACTAGACTTGGGTTGGGTTATTGTGGGAGAGGTGTGTTCAGGAAAAACGCATGGTCCACCAGAGGTCAACGTTTACAAAACACACACCTTAGATAATGGTCGTGTGTCCTACTTTCAGCCTTGCCTAAACATAATTCATGTTAAAGAGAATTATGGGGTTGTGTTAGACAACGTCTGTGACACAGATGACTTAGGGCACGCTGTGTTTGCTAGGTCTCAATGTGATGATAAACGAGCTTTATCGATCGAAGACAAAGCTTTCCTAAAAATTATGGACAGAGAAGTCTACCAAAATGAAGAGAACAGTTGGGTTGCACCTTTACCCTTTCGTTCAGAGAGGAGAAAACTCCCGAATAACAGAGAACAAGCTCTAAAGCGTCTCTCTACACTGAAAAAGACATTGGCAAAGAGACCAGAGATGAAAGCTCACTATGTCCAGTTCATGCAAAAAATGTTGGACAATGGCCAAGCGGAATTAGCTCCGCCCGTCACAGTAGATAAAGAACTGTGGTATCTGCCTACATTCGGGGTATACCACCCTCAGAAACCAGAACAAATCCGGGTTGTGTTTGACTCGAGTGCAGAGTGTGACAGGGTTTCCCTTAACCAAGTGCTTCTTAGTGGACCCGATTTGAACAACTCTCTGTTAGGAGTGCTGCTACGGTTTCGTAAAGAGCCAATAGCCCTGACAGCCGATATACAGCAAATGTTTTACTGCTTTGTTGTTCGAGAGGACCATAGAGATTATTTGCGTTATTTGTGGTTCGAGGACAATGACATTACAAAAAAGATACTAGAGTTTAGAATGAAAGTTCACGTATTTGGAAATAGCCCGTCTCCTGCTGTTGCCATTTACTGTATGAGACGAGCGGCACGACAGGGTGAACTAGAACATGGCTCTGATGCGCGTCAGTTTGTTGAGCGTCAATTTTATGTTGATGATGGTCTCACATCTGTTGCCACGCCACAAGATGCTATTGACCTACTTAAGAGAACTCAAAACATGTTGGCGGAGTCAAACCTACGCCTTCATAAGATAGCATCAAACTGCAGTCAAGTTATGGAAGCCTTCCCTTCAGAGGATCATGCAAAAGACTTAAAACATTTAGATCTAGGAGTAGATCCTCTTCCAGTTCAGAGAACCCTAGGACTCTGCTGGAACCTACAAGCTGATAGCTTTACTTATCGTGTGTCAGCTGAGACCAAACCATTCACACGCAGGGGACTACTGTCAGTGATAAATAGCCTCTATGACCCATTGGGGCTGGTTTCCCCAGTCATAATGCAGGGCAAAGCATTACTAAGGGATCTCTCATCTGAAGTTAGGGATTGGGACGAACCGTTACCCCCCAACAAACAGGAAATGTGGGACACGTGGAAAAAGTCATTGCAAGCCCTTGAAAACCTCCAAATACCAAGATGCTACTGCTCAGGTACATTAAGCATAAGTAAGGTAAAAGAGCTCTGTATTTTCTCTGATGCCTCTACCGTGGCTATAGGAGCAGTAGCTTATTTGCGAACAGCTAGTGATGAAGGACGCAGCCATGTCGGCTTTGTAATGGGAAAGTCCAAGCTTTCACCTCGTCCAGCACATACAGTACCGCGCCTAGAACTTTGTGCTGCTGTGCTTGCAGTGGAGATGTTCGAGCTTATTAGGGATGAGCTAGACATCAAAGTGGACTGTGTGAAGTTTTACACAGATAGCAAGATTGTGTTGGGATATATACACAACACTTCCAAACGCTTCTACATGTATGTTGCCAACAGGGTTACACGTATTAGAGCATCCACACAACCAAACCAGTGGCATTATATACCAACAGAGCTGAACCCAGCTGACCAAGCTACTAGGTTTATCCCGGCAGCTGACCTGCAGAACACTTCCTGGTTCTCAGGTCCACCATTTTTGTATCATGACACAGAACCACCCAAAACCGGTCCTTTCACCCTCATTGATCCTGAGAAAGACAAAGAGATACGTCCAGAAGTGAAAGTGCTAAAAACTACAGTGTTGGAGTCACATCTAGGTTCTCAGCGCTTTCAGAGGTTCTCTAGCTGGACCACGCTGTGCAGAGTTTTAGCTAGGCTCATTCATGTCATCTCATCCTTTAAACAGAGGAAAATTGGATGGAACAGTTTCAGGGAGACTCCAAGCATCCAAGAACTCACAAAAGCCAAAGTAGTTATCATACGGGCTGTCCAGCAAGATGCTTATGAAGAGACAATTAAAACGCTGAAAGAAGTTAAACAGAAAAATGTGAAACTTGACACACTCAGAAAGCTCAACCCTTTAGTTGACAAAGACAACCTCTTAAGAGTTGGGGGACGTCTCTCCTCAGCCGATCTCACTGAGAATGAAAAGCACCCTCTCATTATCCCATCCTCCAGTCATATTGCTACACAGCTAGCAAGACACTTTCACGAACAAGTGTCTCATCAAGGGAGACACATAACTGAGGGAGCTATCCGAGGTGCCGGGTTTTGGATAATCGGAGCAAAACGCCTTGTGTCGTCTGTCATTCATAAGTGTGTTACTTGTCGAAAATTGCGAGGCAAAATGCGGGTTCAGAAAATGGCAGATTTGCCCGCTGACCGACTCACTCCTGAACCACCTTTTACATCTGTCGGTTTGGATGTGTTTGGACCATGGACAATCGTAACTCGTAGGACAAGAGGTGGCTGCTCTCAAAGTAAACGCTGGGCCGTTTTGTTCACGTGCATGTCAACCAGAGCCGTGCACATTGAACTGATAGAGACTATGTCTACTGACAGTTTTATAAATGCACTGAGAAGGTTCTTCGCCATTCGTGGCCCAGCCAAGGTTCTACGCTCAGACAGAGGTACGAATTTTACAGGAGCTTGTAAGGAGCTTAACATTGAGAAAGAAAGCTCAGCAGTAGGAAAGTACTTGCAAGAAAGAGGTTGCAGTTGGATTTTCAACCCGCCTCATGCGTCGCATATGGGAGGGTCATGGGAGCGCCTTATAGGAATTGCAAGGCGCATTCTGGATGCAATGCTGTCACAAACTGAATCAACTCGTCTCACTCACGAAGTCTTAAACACCTTTATGGCTGAAGTGATGGCAATTATTAATGGAAGACCCCTGGTTCCTATATCCACAGACCCTGATTGTCCTGTAGTACTCACCCCAGCAATGTTGATAACACAAAAGGTGAGTGCTGTTTCTGCTCCATCTGGGAACTTTTCCACATGTCAGTTGTTTGGGAAACAGTGGAAGCATGTCCAGCACCTTGCTGATACTTTTTGGAAAAGGTGGAGAGGAGAATATTTGCCCACCTTGCAAAGTCGTCCAAAGTGGACTGAAAACAGACCCAATGTTAGAGAAGGAGATGTGGTCCTACTGAAAGATCCTCAGGCAAGCAGGAATGAATGGCCCATGGGAATAATAACAAAAACCTTTCCCAGCAGGGACACAAAGGTCCGCAAAGTGGAACTGAGGGTTGTACAAAATGGGACTGTGAAGATATTTCTAAGACCAATATCTGAAGTCATTGTTTTGTTTTCTGAGACTGAGTGACTACTGCATCATCTGTTGCCAAAGAGATGAGTTTTTTTTTTATTTCTTATGATGTCTGTTGTGACATAATGTGATTACGTCAAGCGGGGAGTGTCATGCCTTTTGTTAAAAAGAGTTTGAGTTTATAATTAATCAGAGTGAGACATCCCGTTTTTGTTAGAGCTTTAAGGTAAATACGTTAGGTAGTGAGTGCTCTCACGTCGAACATATCTTTGACGTATTTTTTTATTTTTTTCTCTGGAAAATCCCGTTTCAGCAAGTTAGCTTCAGAAACGGTTCATGTTGAAGTGAAATGTTCTACACGCTTCTGCCTCGGCAAATATTCGTCTTTGTGAGTATTGTTTTGCTCAGAAAACACTTGAATATGTGTTGAAATAATTTTTTTTGTAAAGTTTGAGAAATGTCTCAGATAAATTTGTGTTTAATTTAAGCTAAGTGTAGAATGTGCTGAGGATGTTCAGATCTAAATATTAGTCAGTGATTAGTTTTTTCTTCTGTGTATTTCAGTTACAACAATAAAAAAGGATATCAAAACCAGATTATTGAATAAAGATTCTTCCAGAATGCAAGAAAAGCAAGCCTTGTGAGGAGAACTTTTTTTCATGTTGTTCGCTGGCTGTCTAACTTCATATGGTCACGTGTTGTGAGGACAGCACATGTAGTTACTTTCAGGGAACGCATAATGTTACTACCAGCACTCACAATTATTTTTTTTATGTATAAAATTATAAACAAAATATACAAGTTACATCTGCAATTACATCTAACAACTTTGAACTAACAGGGAAAGACAGGTCTACCTGAAAAAGCAGGAGTAAATTATATACCAGGCAGTTTTGAAATAAAGTATGAGAGATACATTAATTTATTAATCCTTAGATGCTACAGAGCATAGATGAAATAACAGGCATTGCATGGTCATCCATTCCATACTTCTCTTTGTTTAGGACCAGTGTGTTTAACCCACTTGGCCCACCAATTAGTGAATACATTTTTCTGAAGGCGGAGGGAGAAGGTGATCCTTTCCATAAGGTAAATGTTACGATACTTGTCCACTCTTGTATTGTGGGCGGGTCGGGGAAGCTGTGATTTTCTAATACTAGACTTTAGTGCCTGTGCTTGTTAGGATGAGTTAACGAGGGCAGACGAGTTTTATATGAGCTAGTTTTGGCAAACATATTAGAATTTTAGCTGTTTGTTAAATAAACATAATTTTAGAAGGGAAATAAGATTATTATATTGTGTCCCACTACACTTCTTGCTGATAGGCAGGCTGTATTGGGGCTCATAAATTCACAAGTTAATGTCATTAAACACATTTTTAAAAGGCTCCAACTTCTGTATTTATTTGTAATCCTGTTTGGATGTTTTTAAAGCTGCAGCGTTTCTACTTAAACCTTGTTTAGTCCCTTGTGTGCAGCGGTGGAGGGAACTTTTCAGTTGCTTGTAAATACGACTGAAAGATGAATGAGTCTTAACAATGAATGAGATATTAACATCTCCCATTAGCCTGTGTGTTATCACTTTTAGCTGAATGCAGCCACTTGTTTTTATTTTTAAATGCTTATCTGTAGAAGTGAAATCTAATTAGCAAAATATACCAAATATAGATATATAGATTTCACAGGCAGAGGGTAAGAGTCAGGAGTGGAGCTACTTCATAAAGGATGTAACAGTTCTTGGATGCAGCATCTGCAGAGTTAGTCAGGACTTCAGCACCAGCAAGGCAAAAAACACCACAAATTTGAGGCAACATCTAAATCAGCACAAACATTAATTTTAGTCATAGTTTTATGCTGACACTTCTCAAATTAAAGTAGCTTATTTTAATTCTATAATTTCATTTTGAACTTTAGTTTTAGTTTTTAGTTTTTTCGTCTTGAGTTATATTTTTGTTTATTATGAGAATTTGAGTCAGATTGTATTTGGACAGTGCATATCCTGTGCATGTCCATGTAAATTTTTTTTTATATTCTGGCCGATATAAATCGGATATCAGCTAATATATCGGATGTCATTTTTTTAAAAAGCTCTGAATATTGATATCCACCTTAACAATCCAACTTCATTTGGGCTCTAATCAAGTCAGACACAAGAACAAAGCTTTTTATTTGATACATGCATCTCAAGTCACAATGAAAAGTTATTATTTTGCCAATCTGATATCTTAACCATTTCTGATTGAATAATTCCGTGGTTGAAATGCTATGTATAGGCTTCTATTTGTGTGACATGTTTAGATTACAGGTTCTACAGCAGGATGTACATTTTCGTTGCGGTAGATCACATCCACCCTCCTGCAGGTGCAGTGGTGGTCAGGTTGTATAGAGCAAATACATAAAATAAACACAGCGCAGCCTCTTAGGGATGCCTATTCCACCTGTCCTGCAGTAATTAGAACTCCATCTAGCAAAGATACACAACAGGTTTCTGAAAGGACTTCTTAGTTTATAAGCACATCAGAGCAAAGGCACAGAGAGTGGGCCGTCTATAAGTGAAAGCAAACTGAAGCTGTATATGCAGCTTAAGTCGTGTTCCTCAGATGAGAGTTGTTGTACCGGTTCTTTATCAAAGTGATGGACCGACTGTCTGACATACAGCTGAGAAAAGGTCTCACAGGCTACATATTTTCCTGTCTCTACCTGTAGTGCACCACATATTCTGTAACCAGAGCAGCATTATTTCTTGGACAGGAATTAATTGATTTTTTTATCACAAAGAAAATAATAATAATAGATGTATTTAATAATATATTCACACTTTGGTTCTGACTGGGGGGCTGCGCAGTGATGCAGTGGGTAGCACTGCTGGCTTAAAGCAAGTAGGTTCTGGGTTCGATTTCTGGCCCAGGGTCTTTCTGCATGGAGTTTGCATGTTTTCCCTCTGCATGCATAGGTTCTCTCCGGGTTCTCCGGCTTCCTCCCACAGTCCAAAAATTGAGCTTAATTAGGTTAATTGGCTTCTCTAAATTCTCCTGAGGTATGAGTACATTCATTAATGGTTGTTTGACTTGTTTGTCTCTGTGTTGCCCTGCGATGGACCACCTCACTCCCATTGACAGCTGAAGATAGGCACCAGCACCCCTCGCGACCCCAGCAGGGATGGATGGATGGATGGATGGATGGATGGATGGATGGATGGATGGATGGATGGATGGATGGATGGATGGATGGATGGATGGATGGATGGATGGATGGATGATCTGATCACCCAAAGTAGCAATATCCTGTTGTCCACACAAACAGGAAATTACTAAGAAACATATACAAAATAAATACCTCCATTAAAAAGCTCTGTGGCAATGTCCATATTCAATAATCTGACTAAACAAAACAAAAAAAGGTTATACTTAATTTGATTTCAAAACTAAAATTTAAGACTTTTACCCTACTTTGGACCCAGTGTACCACTGGAACTAATCAGCTAAGGTAAATGCCTTTCTCAGTGGCACTCCAGTTGTTTTTTTTTAAGGTGATTTATAATTTATTTAAATCATGCTTTTACCAGTAGATGGATAGCTATTCAAATCATTTAGAAACTACATCCACACTATTTTTACAGCTAAAATATCAAATGCAAATTTTTATTTGCAGATTTTTTTATTAAAACCTTGCATGTATAGTCGGTTTGCAACAAATTTAAAGCAGAAAGACAACAACACTTAAGTATACATTTATATAATATCACACATGCATGCTGGTTAGATATTTAACCGCTGTTTTTACCACTTAGGCATATATTAAATGCCCAAGCCAATTATGAAGTGGAAAAAATGCTGGAATGACTTCAATACCCACAGCAAAGTGATTAACACAAAATCAGAGGATGTTAACTTAGAGAAAAAGTTTTTGATCCAAAATCAACACCTCTACACTGTAAACATGTATGATTCAAATGCCAACTAGGGACTGAGCTATGTAGCCACAATGATTAATGTATTTTAATAACACAAGATGAGGCTTTTACAGACAAGAAACGTTTCCTGTCAAGAAGCACAACATTAAGAAAAAATATCATTGTGATACGGTTATCAAATATTGATACGAAGATATTACATACAATTTTCTTGACATGCTTTCTTGCAATAAATTCTAGCTTCACATCTAAGCTCCAGCATGATGATCACTGAAAAAAAATATTTGTCTGACCATTAGGACTGAACATCATTTAAGTACAAACCAAAATCAGCTTTGGCCATGTTTTTTTTCTAAACACACAAGGAATTCAGGTTTCACTTTTCTTCCATGTGTAAATAAATTTAATAATATATCAAATGTGATGGAAAACTAAAGAGTTTTAAATGCAGAAATGCACAAATAAAATCTTTTTATATGAGATGTACAGCATAGGCTTTTGGATTCAGCATGGCAAATATTACTTACATTCAGAATTTCTTATATCAAACTACATAATACATGCAAGTGGTCCATTCTAATATTGTTCACATTGATATTGCAACTGCAAATCAACTTAATGACTGCAATGCTAATGATACTTGTGTATTACTAATCCCTTAATTTCCCCTTATTCCAAAATCCATGCTGTTGAAATCAAATAGGGTGTGCTTGCAGCACAGTGATTTCATAATTGATAAAGTAGAGATTAAGCTTCCTGAGCGCTCCCTCAACCTTCTTGTAAATTTATGTCCAAAAATGTGGCCATTGGTAGGAAACTATCCAATTATACCAGGACCTTATGGATAACCTGAAAAAGTGGCTGCTTTAGGTGCAGGTTTCAGGTGTATGCAAATATTTTGAGTATGCGCGTATTACAAACAATCAAATACAAATCTTATATAAAAAAAAAATATTTTAGATAATGTAGGCCTCGAATAACCAAAGGTGCGTGGCAGACATATTTGAAATGTAGACTTTTTATAGCTGAAGAAAGCCTTTTAAAAAACAATATGCCTTCCAGTAACTTGCCATAAGAAGTTATTGTACAGCCCTAAAATAAATGTGGAGATGATAAAAAACAAAGCAAGGACAGAGTAACACTCTGGCAGCTCCAGTTGCCCTTTAGTTCGCCTGGAAACTGCAGCCGAGGGTTTTAAAAATGTGTCGCCTTATTCATGTCCGATAAATCACTGCAGAAAAATAGACTGCAGAGAAAATAAAAAGGTCTGGTGGAAAAACATGAGCTCAGTCTGACAGCACTGGCTCTCCATTCTCCTGAATGTGTGTTTATCACCGCACTCTTCATGAATATGAGATGGTGTAAGTGCTTATGCAAGTTTCTCTAAAAAGCAAAACGCATTTTCAGAGTGGGGTTTGTGTGTCTGTATAACAGAACAAATCTATTGTGTTTGTGAAGGCTCAGGTTCTCATTACATGCATGATGCGAATGCCAAACAGTGCTTCAGTGCATGTGTTTCACTCCTGTACCTTTGCAAGAAAGATGAGTTACCGTGTGGGAGTTATTCTAAAATGCTGCCTCAAAAGGATTAAAGACCAACAAGTGGGAAAAAGAGAGTTAGATGACGCACAGTGGGAGAAATGAAAAATAACAAGATGATGATAAAGCAGCAGCTGAAAGAA